GAGAGTTTTCAGACCATGGCTCATGGAGAGGAAAACTAGGAGAAACCTGATGGACTCAAATAGTTAAGAGTCTGAACTGAGAGTCCAGGGAGACCAAGGAGGTAGGAGTTTAGAGGATGTAGTACTGGCAAGGTGAGACTTGTACAGTGACACAACTACAGAGGTCTGCAGAGGCTCCTCTTCATCTGTTCAGGAGAGTTTTAATCAGAGCACACATGTAAAGAGATTACTGTATTCCTGGGAAAGAACCACCTATCGGAACTACAGGAAACGACCCTGAGGCTAACACAGAGCCAGGAATAGGACCTATTCCTACTATCCAGAGTGGAAAACTTAATAATTCTCAGAGCATTGAGTAGAGTATGCAGAAAAAACCTGCTTCAGTAGTGAGAGATAATTAACTCTAAAGTAAACACTTTCATTCCACATAACATATTTAACAAACAGGAACCCAAAGGATCAAATAAATTCCAGGTAACTTAACTATACCCCAGAAGATAGCTCAAAAATATTTATAGGTATACAAATAAATCCAGTGCTCAAAAAGACAAAGGTTACAATGTTGGGAACATAAATTTAGCCAACATAAGTAGCAGAAAAATCTGATTCATGTTGAAAAGAAAAATCAATCTATTGAAACTAACATGGAGCTAACATAGATGCTAGAACTAGTGGGGAAAACACTAAAATAATTATTATAACTGTGTCCCATATGCTTAAAAAGCTAGGTGAAAGATCAAACATACTAGATCTATTCATTGAAGACAAAAAAGACACAAATTAAACTTCTAGAGATGTACACTTTAATATCTGAGATTAAAAATAAACTAAATGGGATTAACAGTAGATTAAACATTCAGAAGAAAGTATTAGTGAATTTAAAGATATAGCNATTGTATGCAAACAATGCATTATGGGAATAGGTATAATCTTTGTGATGCTACAAAAAAAAAGAATGTACATTAATATTTATTGGCTATGTTATTTTCTAATTTCAGATATTTAGTTTAAAATTATTATTTTGTTAAGGCTGCTTTCATTAGGGCTATCTAACTAGTTTTTCCTCACTGATAATTCTCATAAATAAAAAGGAAAATATAACATATAGCCCAAATCATAATTTCTTCTAGATGATTTATGAAATATATTTTAATTCTCACCATGGGCATATGATACAAGCAATACTAAAATCAGACTATAAATAAAAACAACAATTGACTTTTATTTGCTTTTCTCAGAAAAAATTGTACATAATTAAAACTTGGCTAAAATGTGAATCCCACTTCTCACCAAAAAGGAGTAACAGGGACAGACTTGTGCTCCTACCTGAAACCAAAATAATTGGAAGGAATGATAGGAAATAATAGTTTTCAAGATAACTGGATATTAGGCAATAAAGGTTAATGAGCCTGACCAAGTGGGGAGAAAGATGTGAGCTGTACAATTGTCCAAGTTTATTTCCTTGAGAG